CTTTTTTACCCCCCCCTTTTTTTTTTTTTTTTTTTTACATTTTGGTCGCGCATGTGCACCTACGTATTACTTATGTGCACCCCTGTTTATTTTTTATAATTTTTTTCTGTTACTCCTTCACCCTTAACAATCTTTGCATCTGGGATGTACCACTTTAAATATAAAAGTATCTTGGTTTGTGTCTTAAATGGCATTAAAACAAATATGATTTTCTTGAAGGTTGAAATCTCTGAATTTGCCATGATTTTAGAATTTCGCTTCTGAAAGGAGAAAAACAAACAAACAAAAAAAAGCTAAAACCAGCCTAAGCTGGTTGGCTGGTCTTAAACTGGAAGTAGCTGATTTTAGCTGGTCTCCCAGCCTGACCAGCTCAAGAATTAGCCAAAACCCCTCTAAAACCAACCTGCTGACTAACCAGGCTGGATGTCCAGCTAAAACCAGCCAACCAGCTTAGTCTGGTTTTAGATGTTTTTTTTTTTTCCAGCAGGGTTGTAACGAGCAGTAACTGAACTAAGCTCACACAAAACTATTTTTAAAGTTATTATTGTGTGTGTCTGTACATTTAACACTCCTTGGTGCACAAAACACCTGCCTAGAAGTGTCTAGTAATCCTGAAGAGCTGGTTCAGGTGTGTTTAATTAGGGCTGGAGATAAACTCTGCAGGACAGTGACCCCTGCACTAAACGGTCAACTTAACATTTTAAGATTTGAACATTATTTAAGCGAAATAACTACTACATTTTAAAAGCTACTTTTTAAAAGCTTCATGTGCTTATATTGAAGGCAAAGACTATTATTGGAAATCCCTGGTTAGGATCTGGTTCCCATGTAGGTGGCGGTAATGCGCAAGAATTGGCGCGTGTCATGCATATGAAAATAAGAGAATAATATTAAAAGAAGTATTTGAAAAATATAAACTTAAATTCACTTTGGAAAATATACTTGGAACAGCACTAAGGAAAACATATGTACAGTTAATTTCATATCTGAAAGAGATATATCCTAGAAAGAGAGTATCCTAGAACGAATATGAAGATCATAGAATAGTAGGGCAAACCCCCCCCTGGGTTTTTTTTATTTTATTTATTTATTATTTTTTTATTTTTTTGTTAATCCTGTTATATTTCTCAGCCAGGCGTTTGTTCCACACTCCAGTCCAGCAGGTGGCGGTAAAGCACCTATTAGCTGGTTTGCCAACCGCCAAAAACGCTTAAGAAGAAGAATAAGAAGCTTTGGCGCGAGTTGCCAGTAAACACAAGAAGAAGGAGCAGGTTTTTTTTGAGCAAACCATTCCTGCCTTTTGATCATACAGTAAAACGAGCAAGGGAAAATGAATCAGAATCTGTCTTTATATTTTCTTTGTAAACATGAAACTCCGATCTCAGTGTTCTTTTTTTTATTGGCACATGGTAAGACATTTTATTTTAAACTCTCTTCTGTTCTGTGAGCCATTTCAATAAATATTGAAATCTTTTGAATCGGTACATAAACTGATTAGTGTGCACTTAATGTAATTTGAGTCACTTTAAATAAAAGCTTCACAAGCTATGAGTACAGTAGGCCTAATTACAGCTTTTAAAATGTTATCCTATGTTTAAGCTTTTGGAAATGAATCTGTCCGTAATTTGCCTTATTATTTTGCCTTTTAGGCTCATTTTGACCAGGAAGTATGTGATTTCTGCAAATGTAGCTGTTCAAGTGTAATGGTTTAGTTTGCCATTCATTCATTCATTCATTCACGGATAGTGTGTACAGTTAACGTTAATTCACTTGCAGCTGCGCGCGCATTGTGGTGGCATAAAAACACTGACGGCGGGAAAGTTTGACATTCATTAGACATTCGGGTTTTTTTGCCAATTAAACTCTTTGCGGCTTTTATGTTTTGAGCCCAAACTAACTCAGATAGACATAAATATATGCCCTTTATGTTGCACAAGGCTTAATTTATAGGAATTAAAAAAATAAATAAAATTAACCATTGAAATTAATTAAACAATTTAACTACGTGACATTATAATATAAAACCAATACTAAAATGTTCGGGAAAACATATCTGTTATTGCACAAAGCTCCGTTTTTGGAATTAACAATTTTATGTTTTTTATAATAATTTTACAACTTTTAATGTATGCAATAATATAAATCCATTAAACGACAACACCATTTGATCTAAAGGTATCAAACCAACTGTACAATATTCATAATATTATTCCTTATAATGCACAAGTCTTGGTTTTTCAGATTATGCCTTTATTGTTTTTATATACAGTACTGAATCCATATTTTACATGTTTAATATACTGTACCCACTTAAATTAATTAAACTCTGACAC